TGCATGCATACACACTAACACGCACAGGAATCTCTTAATTTTTCGACATACACACACGAGTACAAAGAAAACAATATATACAAATCGACTACTAGGCGTACTGCGAGAACACGTTTCCGAATGGGTTTACAGATCCCCCTTTATCAACAGCCGGAGAGGCACTACGAGCGTCGGGCGACACCGCCCCAACCAGACCGAACCAGCAAGGTGTGCCTGCCTAGTTACCCTGAAACCAAGGCCAATTGCCCTTACTTGATTCAAGCGTTCGTTAACACAAAACTCAATGTGTTTCTACGTATAAATATATCTATATACGCTAGATCATTATTACTCACTACTGTCGTTTCTTTCGTTGTTACTCATTGATTACAATTATTCTAATTACCGTTGCCGTTTTCGTTTGTGGTCACCTATCTCTCGTTTTTCATTTTGAGTTTCATAGAGAACGTGCATAGTCTTGTCGTGTAATTTACAAGTCTCCGGTACGAGAAGTTATTTTTCTTTTCACACATATAACACACCCGACATACTTAGATTTCCAGTTTGTGAATTGTAGCAGTGCCGATCAAGAGCTTTAACACTGTCGGGGAATTTCATGTTTTGCAAAAAAAAGTCGATTGAGCAGAGAAAAGACTATGCTTACCATTTGGTCAAATGTCAAAAGCTTATTATAGACTTACGGAGTAATTAAACTCCTTTCTTGTCGCGCGAGACTTCGTTAAAGTCTAAACACTACAAACTCGAACGAGCAAAGCGGAAAGAGTCTTATACTTTAATTAATTGATCTCTCGTAAGGTATAACGCTGGTAACGGAAAATGATTGAAATGTCATTCTGGTCGAAATTAATTTGGTTGAAATTAATGTGAAAAGTTACAGTATAACTTGATATTTCATACAGAGCTAAATGTACAGCTATAGTTTTCACGGAAGTGAAATAGCTTTCACTGCGTAGAATACTTCAACAAGCTCTTGATCAGTCTTGCCCTTAGTCCCGTAGTCCTGGCGATGCGACGTGTGACATGGATCACAGATTAGAAGATGCGATATTAGCTGAGAAGAATTCAGTATGTATTGATCGATGGAGAATGATAATGCTTGCAGTATTATATCTTAGTGACGATGTTTTTCTATAACTATATTGTATAAAATCCATGTTTCACCGACTAGCTGATTCCTCGCCAAAGTTCTTGAGAACAGTTTTTTGGTATGAGATGCTACCTTGTTTTTGTCGGGTTTTGTTGGAAAGTTCCGTTCTGTGCTAGGTACTAACATGAGTTTGGTTACACGAATAGTCATTGTGAACTGGTCGTGTCGAATATTGGATCGCGCGATCGCAGGAACGGCCGACGTTCGTGTCGATCGCTGTTTGAAACGTTCACCTCGAATTTCTCGGCTCTCGATTATCGCCGGTCCCATAAGCCGCATAACTTTATTGGCCTGATACGACATAGATGCGCATGTACATTACCGTATGAGTCAATAGTGATTATCGACGTTCTTACAGTGACGGTTTGCATAATCTAGATACGTGTGCATGTAAATGTATACTGATAGTATAAACATTTTTAACGGATGCACCATTTTTTGACAATGGTAGCGCATGAGGTCACGGTGACGATGAAGAGCCGAGAGTTCGTCAATCTTATCGCCGTCCATCCAATCAACGCGTGATTATATGATACAGAAAATGTCTTTTGAAAACTTCTTATACGGACGTAGCAAGAGTAAACTCTATAGAGAATTTCTGCAAGGTATTCGACACGAACCACTCAACAGACGAGAAAGTTGGTTGGTCTAACAGTAGGTCTGCCTGTGAGTGTTAGGTGTTAATTAACCCTATCTGTCCAAAATTCTTGGCAATGTGCCCGTGTTCAGTGTGTGTTCCCAGTTTTATTTACTCCCGACAATTTACTCCTCTCTCCTTGTTCCTTCCTCCCCCGAGATAAACTTCTAGCGAGCACCCCTAAAGTCCCACCGATTATTTCGTTCCCTCCCTCATTCACGTTCCGTTCTGATTGCCTGTTGTTTCGTGTTGTCTAGATATGCCTGATTTAACGAGGAGGAAGCGATTCCGATTTCGTTTCTTTTTGTTTCATTTTGACATTTTACTTCCGCCAGGACGGAGAGTACAATTACGCAGACGCCGTCGGTACTTTCCTCTGCCCACGTATGTATCCGTATATCATCATATTTTTGTTCGTTTGTTCTCTCTCTTTTTCTCTCTCTCACTCTCTCTCTCTCTCACTCTCTCTCTCTCTCTCTCTCTCTTTCTCTCAGGAGCACGTTTATATTATAATATTACCGACGATATTTTCCAGCGTTCTTTTTCCGCCGTTAGATATTTCGCCCTGGCCTCCACAATAAAAGCGAGAGAAGTACGCGCCGCGTACGATCTTTTAACCATCTCGCCACCCGATATACACGTAGCGGATATGACGCTCCTCTCTTTCGCGTGTGTCTTTCGCGTCTCCGCTCTTGTCTCGAGAATTGCTGCTTGCTCCTCTTCGCGATCGCACGGCGAATCACCAATAAACGAAGTCTCGTTTCGTCTCGATTGTGCAATGAGAGGAAAATTTTCCACGAGAGAGATGCTTCTTACGTGTTGATTCCTAGAAAACGAAGTGTTAACATTTTCTAGAACACATACATATATGTACTTATATTGTGTATAAACGTACATCGTAATGTACGCTGTCATTCATGTGTGCATTCCAGTTTTTGCGAAGAGAGATAGGAAATAAGGAGAGAACAGTCGATTAATCACGCAGACTCGATCTGAAAGAGACGATTCTTGTTTTCTATTTCTTTTTTTTTTCTTTTTTTTTTATTATATAGTACTTTCCGTATTGTTTGCCGAAAGAAATTTGTCACGCATTAGATCTGACAGATTTAAATGAACAACAAATGTCAATTTAAAAAATTAAAGTTACGATTACCCTAATACACTAAAGTTTATCGTCTGTCTTAAAATAACAAGGTACAAGATGTATAGAGAAAGATGGTGAAAGAGTTTTTTTTTTTTATCGATACTGTCTTAAGAGTTGAAGCCAATTCAATTCTAAACGTTTTGGATTTCTCTCAATTATATTGCTATAAAAGAAGGTAAAAAGACAACGGATAAAATAAAACAGATTGATCGCAAATTTTTCACTCTTTATTTACTTAACATTAACTTTTCGTTATGTGATTTGTACCGCGTTATCGTTTCTTCTATATGTATATTACAAAAATGTGATTTATCGATGATGTCGCCAAATTTCAATGAACGTGCGTATACCTTCTTAATGAATCCACAACGCATTTGAAAATTCTACCCTTATATTCTTATTAATTCATTAATTAATTAATTAGAGAAAAGAAACAGCAAAACGCAGTGCTCTTTGTAACGAGTGCAAGAGCTTTCCTGCCCGTGGCACGTACACCCTGTTTCCCTTTACATCGTAATTAAATCAGATAACAAACACGAGTGCCTTTGTGAGCACGCACATTAGAGTTAACAGCCGCACAGTATAGCAAACCGCCGCGATAATGGTCGTGGCTGGTTGCATTCAGCGTGGCAAATTAAAACGTATACTCGCGTGTATATACGCATATTAAGAGACGATAAATCATAACTGTCATGCAGAAACGCGCGATTGTACCTACCGTCCGCGTGATTTTTCGTGACGCGTACTTGGCAAATCGCGCGTTTCTCGTCGCGTTTGTTACAAATTATACTGAGACGTGTATACGTAAGATGTAAAGACGTGACAAAGAAGTGTGTCGTAAGACATCCGCGATTAACGGATATATTCTTGTTTTGTCTTTCACTGTGTATTTTATAATCTCATCGATGTGTGCGACCATGTACGATGTTCTTTCACCTCGAACTATATACATGCGGTGATCTCTTAACGGATAATTATCAAAGTTTCCTCTGCCTTTTCGTGACTTTTGCATGGAATTTTTCAGAAAGATGGGAGCGATTCTCCTTTTGTCAATGTTTATCTCGTCACAGACTGTTTCTTTCAGCAGAGCAGCGATGCGCGCACAATGCCCCGAGAAGAGCAGAATTTTTATATTCCACAGTTTATCACATTTGCAGATTTTTCTCTCTCTCTTTCTCTTTATCTCACTCTCTCTCTCTCTTTCTCTCTTTCTCTCTCTTTCTCTCTCTTTCATCAATATGAATTTCATAAGTCGAGACAATGTTTGTTACTTATATCACCAATACTTGAAATAATTTTTGTTTCTTCAAGCGTAAATCAATGTGCACTTTTCTACTTGTTTTCTTTAGCCTTTCTTCAATTAATGTCCTTTTCGATTAAATTACTAAATTACTAAAGCGTTTGTTCGAGACGAAATGAGCAGCCTCTCCCATGTGGGAAAACTATGAAATTCTCTACGGCGTATACATAACAATTAAATTTTGGCGGCTGGTTCAAATCGAGACAATACCGTAGAATTTGCATGAAAGATAATATCGAGAGTGTCGCGAAGTCAATTACGTTCGCGTGCTGAATTACTTGAATATAGCTCTAACAGACACGCCCAGGATCAAGTTACACGGCTTTGCAAGTTAATCGCGTGGTTTTTTTACTCAGTCTGTAAATCCACCATGATACCACACATATATACAGAACCGCTAATTAATTCATCGAGCTTCATCCGAGCTTGAAAAGGAATTGCGGCTTCACGCTTGGCGCGCGACTGCTAATTCGATAGCTTTGACATTCGAATGGCTTGTTGATTACTAATTACCTAATTCACGGATTATCGAACTGTTACTCTCTTCGTTATCGTGTCGTGCTCCTGCCAATTATACTTTCGCGTGCACACACACTCGCTCACGTCATCGAAAATCGTTCTTTTATATTTACGCCCTGCAGCTCACATTTTACCGATCTCTCATCACCCAAACGATCGATCGGTCGTTTGATTACCCAGATTACGGCGACCGACGCTCGCCGCGGCGAAGCGAGAATTCGCACCAACACCGATATACTGACACCTGGTGTAATTATTTACTCTGTTTATGTGCTTGTGTATGTGCCAGTACTAGCATTCAGGAGGGAGGATGGAAAATGAGAGGTACTAACACCCTTATATCTATATGTAAATATTATATATCATCTTTCTTTACCCTTTCTCTTTAATTTGTTTCGTCGTTAAATAGATAAACTAACGTGATTCGCACGTGATTGTACATACGGCCTGATTCAGAGTGGACGTCACCGTTAAAAATGTCCACACAGCGACGTCGATTACTACTTTTTGCGCATCTGCTGGCGGATTTCGCGCGTACCCGAGTACGCTTCACATTATTATAACGAAAGGATGAAATTTTCGGGATGGGATTGCCTTTCAGCGTTCGTTGTGTAATGTGGCTACAGTACCGCACACCGGAAATTTCTGACCTTATACGAGAGACGAGAAAAAGAAAATCGATCCTGCAACCATCCCGACAATCTCCTATACTAGTTCCGTCTTACTCTCTTTCCGCTACTACCATACCATCTTACAAACTGTCAATTAATACATATATATATATATAACCACCCCTAACTATACCGACGTTTTCTCTCCCCCGTCCTCCTTACTATTACTTTCGATTCCGTTTCTTTCTATCTCTGTTTCCTATACTTTCTTACACTATTTCTTACACTATTTCTGCCTCCTCTCTGTGAAATTTCTATTAACCTCTGCAGAATTTCTACTAACCTCTTCTTACTACGTCTGGCTATGTCCCGCTTTCTTTTGTTTCTAGATATTGCAGAACCTACAAAAAAAACGCACTGAGCGGAGGGGGCGCCTAAGTTCTGACAATATGACTAAAAAGAAGTCCGGTTTCAGCAAAAGCGAACTTATTTTTAAGGTAACCCGCCCTGGCGAACGCGCGAGCTCACGTCCACGTGATTCGCACCCCGAATCAGCCTCGACGATTTCCCATCCGGTTTTCCGCGAGACTCGATAGAAAGAAGTCAACTCTCTCGACCCTATCCGCCAATATTTAATCAACACAATTATTAAATAAAATCTCCGTAATAGTAAAGAATTATCATTCACATTACAATTTCTTAACAAACAGTCTATAAATAAAAATATAATAGCACTTTGAAGAACAACTGGAAGTATTAAAATAAAATATTTCAGAATTTGTGTAAACCCCAATTTTTATCTTGAAGTTGTATCCAGTATGTATCTTTGACTAGTGAATTAATCAATCGTTTCTTTCCTTGCCGAGAATATATTTTCGAATGTAGCGTCGCGCGGGAACCGGATAAACCAATTGTTGATTTAATCGATCGACTGCCGTTCTGTCGATGTCTCGTGAGGACCGGGAGCGGGGCTGACGAGGTTAATTTGGACGGAGGAGCTGTACGCTGATTGGCTCGTTGGTTTATTACAAACATATATTCAGCTTTTACTTTTTCCGCCGCATTATACATTACATATACCCGCAGCAATAGGCTATGCTTCTATACAATCACCATCGGCACCCGCCTAGCGATGAGAAAGTACATGTACATAACTATGTGTGTGATATGATAATCTAGAGGCCCACGAATATAGATATAAAAAAAAAAAAAATAACGTTATGCTCGGTTAATTACGAGCCACCTTTGCGTCAGCACCTCACGAAATGTATAAGAGGCCCCAATTACCGATGATCGCCGATCGACAGCGCGATATTCGACGTGAAAGTGAACGAACGGGGATCGGTTGTTAAAAGTCCGGCGTGGCGCGTCCGACTCAAAACAATCGTATATTCGTATTAAACCCTTCCTCTCTCCGTCTCTTTATATATATATATGTATATATATATATATATATTTGTACCTTTCTCTCTCTGTCTGTCTTCTCTCATTCTAACTTTCTCTCGTTTACTACTTGACTCTGTTCGATGTATCATCTACGTCTCCTTGCTCCTTCCGTCTTGTACCCTTCCTTTTCCCCTACGATCCTTCCGCGTCCCGTGGACGACCGCAAACCGCCTGTGTTTCCACGCACTATCTTGTGAAACGCTTTTGATCGCTAGACGGTGTGCACGATCCTGTGAAAACGAGCGCACGTAATTGGGCGTCCCTTCTCTGTCGCTTTGTCGCAAATTGCATACTGTGTATATCAACCATGTACCCGAGGTGTGCATCGCTACCTTAGACATAAAGGTGCAGGAGGAAAATGGATACAGACCACACGCGCGAGTGCTAACGGAATAACAATTAGGGTGCAATGCATATGAAAGTAGAGCTCGCTTTATCTTCCCCTATACCGCTGCTCTGCAAACGATTTTCACCTTGTAAACCACCCTCGCCAGCCGCGCGTCTTATCCATTGCCGTCCGCTCTGTCGCTGTCCATTCCTCGCTCTCTATCGCTGCTTCTCGGCCGAGAAAATGCACTTTTATCTGTATAATATCGCTGGCTATATATCTATGTGCTTGCAAAGTCGGTAAAAAAAAAAAAAAAAAAACGAAAACACGACAGAAGAGCGAAAACACTTCGCTTTCTCGCTTCGTGTGGCTTGGCTTGCGCGAGGCTTAACGTAACGTTTGGCAGCTGCGTTTTGTTCGTCCCTCATTACGCTCATGATCACTTAAAAATTCGTCTCGGCCGAAGTGCGAGGAACTCTCTCTCTCACCCTCACGACAAACATCTCTCTTCCGTAATAAACCCCCATACCTCGTCTCGGTTGTTCTCTGTTGTGTCTTTAGTTTGCAGTACACTTTTGTTCCGGTGTCGTTTTAGAGCGTTTGTTGTTGCCACTTACAATCGCCATTCGTTTAATTAGTGCGCTGACTCATTGATCGTTGATTGTTCATTAATCATATTCGTGGAGACATAACAGAAATCAAGCTTTCATCTTTACTAGACCTGTGACTGTCTCGTAGAAGAGAAGGTTGATGTTGAGTTACAATATGTATCGTTTACCCTGTGTTTCCTTCTTTCTTCTATCTTTTCATTTTTTATTCTTATTAATTTGTAAAACCACGCCACGTACGTGCATATACGTCGCATCGCTCGTATAGACATCGACGATATATGTACTTATGCGTGCGCGCGTGTACTCCCACGTGTACACGATCTTTTACTTGTAGACCAGGTAATGTATTCAGCTATATGTGGTATAGCCCGTAAGTTTCCTATGTTTTTCTTACTTGTTTCCCGTAGGCGCAGAAACAGTTACCATTGATCATCATCCATGGAGTATCATAACACCCGATAGATACTAGCCAGTATCCCTAATATATTTTATCGCATTTAGATAACCAGATCTCCGCCCTTCATCGAAATCCTACGGCGATTGGGCATCGATGCATCTCACGTCGTCTTTTACATTGTTGCAATCTATTAATGGCCATGTCTACGATAACTGTAAATGCGACTCTTTTACGACTATAGGTTTCCGACGTAATCGCACAAGCGATAAAGCCATGCAAGCCAACGTGATGCAATTAACTAAATTTCACTTGTAAATATTATATTATTGATATAAAAAAAAAAATGTTCTAATTATTTAATTTAAGGTAGTCTGATTGTGAAAAAATTACATATTATTATATCGCGACGTAATTTGAATTACATATTTTTCACTTGTAAACTTTATCAGCATTTATTTGCTGCAATTATATCATAATGTTGTAAAAAGAGAGATTGTACAGAACTTTTTAAAAATGTATGGAACTAAGTTATCTTCAACAAGATGACACATCTGTTTGAGCTTATTGTACGTCATTATGTCATTACTGTCGGTACTGCAATGGCTCTATCATTTCTGCGGTTTAAGTGCAAGAATAATTACCTAACTGTTATATAGGGGGACAGGTCCCACTGCCGTACGATTTCAAGATCATTATACCGCGATTGCCCAAGACTCGACAAGAACCTTGTAAACAGCTCCACCTATACTCCTCGCTTTGCTGTCGCTTAGATTTATTAATAAATTAACCGGCACAAATTTGTCATCTGAAACGAGTCCTGCGAGAATTTTCTTTACGAAAACATCAAACTTCTCCGTAAAAGTTATAAGAGCACGAAAGTGTATCGAGTATGATAGATATGGTGGGCGGTAGAAAGAAAAAAGCTTGAAGATTCGAACTACTTGCGGGTGTTTGGGCAAGCGCGTTTAAGTTCGGAAACTTCAGTTTGTCGCCGCATAACGGGTTCGGGAGAATTTTCTTCGCACATACCCCGTCGACGGCGGCAATACTCTGTATTGGAAATTCATTTGCGCCACCGACGGGGTATCCGAAGACAGAGTCTCGCGAACACCGGAGACCGAATACGGTGCATGACACAGTCATTACTGCAGCGCGCGTGTCGCGTTTCGTTACGAGTACCGCACACATACTAGTGCGGAAGCAGATATATATGTCATCGCCACATATGTACATACGTTATGTACATACATGAACATGAGTCGCACTTCATGATACCTTCAATGATCCTTAGATAACTCTATCCTTATCTCTCGATTAATAAGAGGACGCTGAGGCTAACCGACTCCAAACCTTCGAGTATTCATCGAGTATTCAGCAAGTGCTTTGAAAGAAGATCCTTCGATCCTCTCTCGTAATAAATAAAATCAAATTAATCTCTAAATAAATTTCTAATTACGTGTAAAACTCTCTCTTGTAAAAATTCGTATATAAATTATAAAATATATCTGAATTTAGAGATTTGGACTCATTGTCATTAACGAATAATTTTATTAAAAATAGCCGCTTGTTAAAGGGAAGCTGAAGTGATTATCGTATAAAAATTTCCAAATTGACTGAATCAAATAAAAAATCCTTTTACAAGATTAAAGTAGACGCAAAATTAAGAGATGGTGCAGTGGACTTTATACTAAAATCGAAAAACAAAGTTAAAAACTTATACTTAACTTTAATCTTTTTTGCACGACTGTTATCATTTTATATACATGTATCTATTAATATTCCATTTCAACGTACAATTACCAGGAAAAGAAAAAACAATTTAATTGTACGTATTAATTATTGAGAAGACGATCAAGAAGTTCTCCACACGTAATCATTAAGATAAGATCGGAATCTCGAAGGGTTAATTTGGCAAATTAGCCATATTGTCGGTGCGTTCTCTGCGTGTCCTCCAGCTTTTTATTTTATGGACGGATTCCCATATCGTACTTATTGCGCACGGTGGAGCCGAACGGTTTATAATTTACGTTTGGAACCGAACGGAACTACATCGACGTCATGATGAGAGCGTCGATTGATTTTAACTCTTTATTTTGTCCTTTTTGTGTGTACGTCATATTATGAACATTTGGCGCATAAGCGGTTTGAGAATCTTGGCCCAACCAGTTGCAAATGATTGATATTTTTTGTTAGAGCATTCGTAGAATAACCAGTTATTTATCAACGTTTTAGGTTACATTAAATTGTTCTTTTGTGTGCCACGTGATGCGTATTTTCTAATGTAGCATGCTTTTCTTAACGGACGAAAAAAGAAAGAATCTCGAAAGTATGGGAACGGCGACGACAACATAGGAAAAGTGTGACACTCTCACTCGAACTATACAGTGTATTCCGAAATTCACAAACTCAAATACTGCAGCAAGATGGTTTTTCAAATATAAAAGTTTAAATTATAGATTTAACCAATTACGGTTAAACTGTCCGTGAATTGTACATGATCGACAGTGTTAATGATCATGTATTTCACTCACAGACATTAGACAAAAGATTATCTGCATAATATCTATATAATATCGTTTGTTGCGTCTCTTTAATTAATTAAAAAAATTTCTTTTATTTCTTTCTCATCATTTACTCATTTACTTTCAAAAATATACTGATTACAACTAGTCGTTTTATTTACGTAATATTATTTATTACTTACTGATGTATACTGATTTACGACTATGCGAATTTCGGGGTAAAATAATTTCATTTGTCTCATTACATTAATGATTTTGATACTAACTAATTAAACTTCGCTGAATTATTAAAAATTTAAGCCTTTTCCGTATCTCTGAATATATCCAATTTTTTCTAAGGTTGATATTTCTATAACTCTTGAAATGTTGATTATTATGACAAGTTAAAAAAACATTGAGACTTGCTCTATCTGTGATGCAAAGTACAAGGTTAGTCATGCAAAAACTTTAAAACAGTGAGGACTTAAAAAAATATCGTAGATATTACATACGCAAATGCATATTTACGTAATTTTTTTCACTCATGTGCTTAACATAAATAATAATAAATTTTTTCTTATTATATTTATTGTGAAAGTGTTTTTACATACATAATTTTTGTTATATGAGTAAATATATTTAAATTCATTAATACAGAATACTTATTTATAGAAAATTTAGAGTTTGTCGAAATTAGAAATCAAGCCAATACAATCAAAAATTTAAAAAATGTGAACAATTTTTTTTATTAATCTAAATGTGAACGTTTTGAATATTACTATAGGTGTTATTATAGTGATTATCAGTCAAACAATTATCTTTATTAATCGACAATTTACAAGAATAAGAATAAATGCAAACGATAAAAATTAATATATGTAATATGAGATGTCGTACACCCCTAATGAAGATTAAAATAAGTAATAAATAACCGACCATTTCTCTCCAGAATACTTAATTGTTTAAATTTAAAAAAAATGTTTACATGCATGCAATAATATTAGTATATTGGCATAAAATAATTTAAAAAAAATTTTAATGACGATTTAATTAAAGAGAATCAAAGGATATTAAAAAATTTAGAATTATTGTAATAAAATAATGGCTCGTATGTCACTCGATTGCAATTATTTATATTTTATTCATATCATCTATTGACATGATACACAAATTAGTAATATTACAGCAATACAATTTCGATAAATTATTTTATCTTATTCATTACATTTGCTCAGTAACAGCATCAACTAATTCACAACAAACCTCATATACAATATTAATATATGATATTACGCGGCTGTTACGCATATAATCTTTTGTTTATTGTCTGAATACGTAATATGCGCAATTATTAACATTATCGAACAATGACTCATGAACAAACCGTTTAACTATAATCTTTAACTGACCAGTTTTTAACTTTTATTTCTTATAAAATACCGCTCGGGGGAAACGATAGTGGTAAATACTTATAATAGTTAAAACTATTCTATTCCTTTGAGATCTTTCTTGCTGTAACATTTCGGTTAGCGAATTTTGGAACACTGTGTATATCCGCGCTAAGATCTGAATTTGTACATTGATCCATTTATACACACAGTGAAGAATTTTCCGTCAATTGTTCCGTTAAAAAAAAAACAACAAAAAACAAGTTTTAAAAAATCGAAATTTTACAAAAAAAAATCTTGAATTTTGATTTTAAGCACGATTTTATCTAAAAATTTGCTGTTTTATTAGCATATGAATGATTAATTGAAGAATAAAAACAGCTTTATTTTCTCAAAAGAATTTATACCAAAATATTCAGTAAATAATCATTAATAAACGATCGGATCTTAGTGACGGATTCCGTCACGTAGTTTACTCATTATTCCTAAATCTGAGCAAAAACAGTAATAGAACCAATTGTATTCGACGAATTATATATTACCGCGTTTTTGTGCAACACTCGCTTACTTGCTGTACACTACGCAATCGGAGCTTTGGATAAACAAGAGAAGTTTTAACAAAACCGTGTGAGAAACATTCCTACGCGCCCGATTCAGCACGAGAATAAAACTCTTAACATTGTTGTTGGCAGTTCCTGAATATGGCGTCGGTGTTCATGCGGATTTTTAACCTGATCTGTATGATGCTCCTGATCGGCCATTGGAGTGGCTGCCTGCAATTCCTGGTCCCTATGCTTCAAGGATTTCCTAGTAATTCATGGGTAGCCATTAACGAGTTACAAGTGAGTAATCAACGGTATTACACTGAGAAAAAAGATTTTGTTAATTTAACAAGCTATATCAACATCTGCAACAAATAATTTCTAAGTATAGTGACAATAAATGTCGGTACTGAAAACGAATACAAGATTTTTCTGTCATGGAGAGAGATGAGAGAGAGAGAGAGAGAGAGAGAGAGAGAGAGAGAGGAGAGAGAGAGAAAAAGAGAGAGACGCTATAGTCTGCTATTTCAATTAATTGTTAATAATAAAGGCAGTATCATATATTTGCTCAATAAATTTTTATTTGTTAGTCATATTGCTAGCTAATTATTTACATAAGGTACAAATAATAATTTAATAAATGTGATTTGTCTCGTATAAATCGTGTACCTATTATTTATTACATTGACGAATAATGATAAATGATTCGTAATAATTGATCGATTCGGTTTTTATCAAATCATGACATTTGTTATCACCTTTTGTTCTAATAACAAACTTATTTCTCTCAGTGTATTTCAACATACTGTCTACGATTTTAATAATCACTACATTAATGTACAATTCTAGGATTGAAAAATAATCTCTTTAACATCGGTTTCTCTAGTCCCTTTTATTCAGTTTACTTTTATTAACTTCTTACAATCGATTCATTTCTTTTAAAAATTATTTATAAGAGGAACGCTAGGTGACGGTATCGGGATTTTGATATATTTTTTATAGGCTGTTCTTGAGCGAAAAAAAAACCGATACCTGTCCAGCTATTTCAGTCATTAACCCATAGTTTCGAAAAAATCGATTTTTTAAATAATTATTGTAATAATTTGAAAAACGTACTATATATAGGAAAAAACATCAACACATCTTTACAAATTTTATTTTCATTTAATGTTACTAATTTTAATTACTTTTTGATTGTAATGAAATTTTGTAAAATTACAAATTAATAGATAATTATACACTCCTGTATGGAATATTTATTATTATCATCGTTATTGTTATCGTCGTTGTTGTTATTCACATGAACCCATAAATAAGAATGTAATGAAAACTGTTACAGTTTCTGATGAAATTAGAAATTGGAAATTGTGAATATCGTTTTCCATGCTGATAGATTTTATTGAAATACTTCTTCAATTCGGAGAATCATTACGCGCGCGAATGAGTCGAATGCTTGCTGAGGTATGAGCAACATTTTGGCTGGCGCGCGGTCTACTGGCTGCGTTCAAAATCATCATTCAAATCACCCCAAGTGTAATTTTATCCTTGTTTAACGTTCTATAAAATAAAATGAAATTTATAAGGATATCGATATTTTCCTATACAGTACGTTTTTCAAATTATAACAATAATTATTTAAAAAATGTATTTCCTTGAAATAATGCAATGACCGAAACGGCTGAACATGTATCGTTTCTTTTTCGCCCAAGAACAGCCTATAAAAAGCGTATCAGAATCCTTGACACCGTCACTTGATGTTTCTCTCTGTTAGTACATAATTTTTTTAATCGTTCAATATCGTCTTCTCTAAAGCTTCTCATGCGTTCAACTTACTTTCATTACCTTCTACAATTAAATTCTCTTCTTTTACAGATTACTTAATATTTCTACAATTTTGCAAATTATATTTATAAACAACACAAATGTATATTCTTCGATATGCAAAAATAATTATTAAACTGTACACGATCAATACGTGAAAATTATTTAGCGATTTGGCAATCATAAAGCGACTTTTCAAGAAGCAAGAAATCGGGCGAAGCTCCGCGCAAACGCTGTGCACTTTGTGCCAAAATTAGCGATCGATTTGCAAAATGCATTTCCGTGTTACGACCTGACGCCTACTTGCAGGACTCATTTTGGCTGGAACAATACTCGTGGGCCCTCTTCAAAGCCATGTCGCATATGCTATGTATCGGGTACGGTAGGTTTCCGCCACAGTCCTTGACCGACATGTGGCTCACCATGCTCAGCATGATCAGCGGTGCGACGTGTTACGCTCTTTTCCTCGGACACGCGACGAATCTCATTCAATCTCTCGATTCCTCGAGAAGACAATATCGCGAGAAGGTAGATAGAACACGTCTATAACAACACCGACACGCGCGAGAGTAACTCGCTCGGAGTTTGCCAGAATTTGATTCCCGTCTGACTTGTTCGTAGGTGAAACAAGTAGAGGAATACATGGCCTATCGAAAACTACCGAGAGAAATGAGGCAGAGGATCACAGAGTACTTCGAACATCGGTACCAAGGAAAGTTCTTCGATGAGGAATTGATCCTTGGGGAGCTGTCGGAAAAATTGAGAGAAGTACGATAGGATTCGTATAAAATACTTTATTCGATTGAAACTAAAAAATCAAATTAAAAATTATATATATATCTAATATTTTGATATTTTGAATTGTGTGAAATCCAAGAAATCTCTCGTTCTTTCTAATTAATGATATTAAACTATTCGCGTTGCTTGCATTTCTTGCATTCAGAATCTTCGCTTTCTCTCTTTTTAACGCGTGCCTATACTAGACGTATTCATCTAGTTTTAAAGGCAAATCTTTTTGAGAATTCAAGCAACGTGAATAAATCTATTAATGTTCAACATAGTAATAATGTTCAACCAGTCGCTAAAGAGAATCTATTTCGAGAAAATATTTCAGGAAAAGCGTATAATAATTGCAGATAGAAGATCCAAGAAATCTTTTATTCTTTTCAATTGAAGATTAATGACCAACATAGTATCGATCTTTTAGAAGCCGTCGAAAAGATTTAGATTAGAAAATGCAGATGTGCCCTATTGAGATTGCGTTTTATTTCAGGATGTGATAAACTACAACTGCAGATCGCTGGTGGCGTCGGTGCCCTTCTTCGCCAACGCCGATTCGAATTTCGTCTCGGATGTCGTGACGAAACTCAGATACGAAGTCTTCCAGCCAGGTATCAAGTTTCATAAATGCGTTTTCCATCCGCAAAATAAAACATCTCGGCGCAACACGAAGAGAAATCTTCTCGTGCGTCAATTACGAATCGTAACGTGGTATTCAAGCGTGTAACGTACTTGCAGGTGATATCATCATTAAGGAAGGTACAATTGGTTCGAAAATGTACTTCATACAAGAAGGCATAGTCGATATCGTGATGGCAAACGGCGAAGTAGCGACCTCATTATCGGACGGGTCTTACTTCGGCGAAATCTGTCTATTGACAAACGCAAGAAGGGTGGCGTCGGTCCGAGCGGAGACCTACTGCAATCTCTTCAGCCTCTCGGTGGACCATTTCAACGCCGTACTGGACCAGTATCCCCTAATGCGCAGAACGATGGAGAGTGTTGCCGCCGAGAGGTATAAGCTTTGGTTAGGTTTGTTCTATCGAGTTGGTGTGCTAATAGATGTCAATCATCACTCCCACTCTCATCTACTTTATTTGAGCATTTCGTACTGTCCGACAAAACGGAGATCAGTCATTTGCTGCCTGTGGAAATCATGTCGCTCTCTCGCCTCAACATACCGATTTTCGTATGTGTTTGTTAGAACTCGACGCTTGTTTTATACACACATACACACACATATGTCAAGGAGATATTTATCGAAGGAAAAGCGACGTATTGCCGCTAATTGACTTTCTTATATAAATTTTGAGCGAGACAGTTGAAGAGTTGGGAAGAATTTGAGACAAATTTATGATAAAAGCGCACTAACTTATGATGGCTACGTTCTGTAAAACACATGATGTGCATGATGTATCATTTTATTCTTGCTCTTCATCAAATGTTAAACAAGGATAAAATTACACATCGTGCGCATCATGCGCTTTATGAAACTCAACCGATAGTTATAATGAGTTGAGAGGGTTAAATCTGTTCGAAATATCTTTAATGCAACGATATTTCGAATAACCGGAATTCATTTTATATTCACATGCATGAAAGGGAAAATATCCGATGTAGTAGTGCATATTTCATGAAATCGGATATTACCCTAGTGAATAAATAACAATTGTAGTTCAACATCGTGACAAAAGTTTTACACTCTCGACACATTCATTACATAATAATGTTCTATTTATAATTTGGCATAACATATTTTACAAATTATTTGAAATTTTTGTCACACGTCTACATGAAAACCAATTTTATACAAATTATTAGAAATAAATGAAATAATAATACAAAGAATTGTATTATTTTATAAATTATTTTCTCGGTGTTACGAAATTTCTGCTAAAAAGTTTTAAAAAATACAGTTACTATTGAAAATATTTTCAATAGCAATTGTATTTTTATATAGCTTATAAATATTTTATTATTAATTATTTATTAATAATTAAAAATGAAAACAAAATAGCTATACAAATTTTTTTAATAAAAATCGATTACCGAAATTATATAATATAATCTATATATTCACTCTATTCTATTATTTGTTTCATTATTCGATATTCCGTGATCAGTGTGTGACAAAAATAAGTGATTTTTTTTTATCAGTTTACTTCATTCAACTACCTTTAGCAGTGCAAGTAGTATCGAAACAAATAATAATGGCTGTTGAGTACAGATAAGCGGCGGGTGTTATAAAGTGCCACAAAACGGACGAATCACTGTGCTGCTAAGCGGTTTAGAATTTGGTGTGAATAGTAATCGGTTAAGTCCCCTACAACATTCCCTACGCTTAATCATACTCTCCTTGTAGGCTAAACAAAATCGGGAAGAATCCTAACCTGGTGGCTCATCGCGAAGAAGATCTTGGCAGCGAATCAAAAACGATAAATGCCGTAGTAAATGCGCTCGCGGAGCAGGCCGCGCATGCCAGCGCCAGTGAAGAATCAGTAAGTACACGAATGAATAACATTCGTAAAATGTATGATTAAGCTACGGATACATGCCTTTTTTTATGAAATTTTTTCTCTCAGCCAAAAGAAGAAATACATTATTATTCTCGACAATCCTTTTAATCTTTAATTTTAAAAGAGTCCTTCAAATCTTCAATTCATTTAATTTTATCGCGATTGCAATTTATTGTGGAGTAATTCTACCTTTGACGAGAAATAGGAACTGTACTGAAAGAGCGATTTTATTTATGGAATAGGTCAAAAACAATGTAAATAAAGATATTGTGAAGTTTCCCGGTTGTACGAGGTCCGGAACATTTGTTTATTTAACATTTGTTAAAAAAACGCTGTTTTTTATGATTTTTTCATCAGTTTTTTTCGAATATCTCAGGTTGTACTCATCGTACAGAAACCAAAAAAATACCGTTGTCTTCGTCATGAAATTGCCTTCAAAAAAGTAAGACACAGTCTAGTCGGAAATGTTACAACATAACCTCTAAAAAAAATAAAATCCGTCTAATATGGTAAATTTTCGTTTTTATTTTTTAATTTTTTTTCTAATTCGTCAATTTTAATGATATTGCAGAAAAAGTTACTTCTTATGGTCGTAAATAAGTGTACCAAATTTGAATTAAAAATATTTATAGAACGGCCGTAAAGCTTGTTTGAATTTGAAAATCGTCGAGCCTGTAACTTTGGTGCAACGCATGCTATCGGACTTTTTTTTTTTTAAATTGTAGGGTTTTTTATGCTCTTTAAGATGATTATAAATAAAATTGCTGAAATCGTCAATAACGATTTTTTTTTTACAATTTAAACACAAAAAAAATTTTGTTTTCTCCATTTCGACAAATTCGGTTGTTTAAACAACTTACAATTGTGTTTAAAAGATAAATTTTTATTTAACGAAAGAATATATTAATAATTTGTTCATATGAGGTAAGTAGTTGGTTTTTGTTGTGTAAATGAGAAGTATTGCGCAGAAAAATCGTTTTTATTTCATTCTATGGCTGTGTTAACATTTCTTATTATGTTAATCTACGACGTTTAATGTTTACCGTGGAATCCGCGTACTCACTGTCGCTAGTGTGACACTCGTATATATCGAATTCATGTTCTTCGTGAGTCGAATCGGGTAAGGAAATACTCGAATCGCTCTCCGAATCGGCTTCATCGGTGTTTGTAATGGATACATCCGAATGTACGTCCATTAGAGACAAGTTTGTGTCGTCAATTTCGAAGTTGTCCATGCCATGTACTTCATCTGCAACTGGTACAACTTCAGTCGCATTGTCGCAATTCATACCGACGCAATATCTGCATGCGGCTGCACATTTCATGCCGTGCTTTTTGCATGTGCACAGTTTGGTTTTGCACCCGGATTTACACGCACACAAAATCGATTGCAGTAAACTGTCAGGAAGTGACTTTGTGCCTTTCGGTAATGCAATTGGCATTAGACCACTACCTGTCATCTCCCAGCTATACTCGCTGGGTAATTTACTTGTATTAAATAACCATTTTTGGACCTGCAAATATACTCGCAATATATGATTATTAGCTGCAGGTGCAGTTGGTGGCAATTCAAGTAATTTACATGCAGTGTTTGTTGTACGTTTTTGAAAGCACTTGAATCTAAGTACATTCAGATTTGCGTCTTTGTCCGGATTTGAGTTGTACAACGCCTCTATACAACTTCTTCCAATTCTGTACAAATTTATTTTAGTTATCTCCGGATCATAAAATATTTGTATATCTTTATGCAAGGATTTGTATTTCCGAACAACATCACAAATTTTCTTTTTTCCAACACCGTAAAATGCAGATGTTGTGTCGCATCCCGAGAATGCGTGCAAAAATAAAATACAATCTCGTATATCTGAATATTTAAAAGAAAATTGATTGTAATATCTTGCTTGTGATTTTCCTATGGCAGGTTTTAAAAAGTATACATATTGCGACATTGACGATGCAAGACTAGTCAATATGACTAATAGGTCAATGCCTTGTCCCACAACTATGACGTCAGCATTCTCATTATTTCTTTTGTGTGATAAGGCAGCATGAATAATGTGAATATCTGCGTCGCCTCTGCATATTTTACTCGTAATTCCTGCTCTTTCAAGATGTTGACACAACAAAGAGATGAAGTGTTCTTTATTTTTACTGTGCAAAAGAAACGTCTTTTGGTTCGTTGGAGGAGACGACTGGACATCACTGATGTTGACTTGTACTGGATAAGTATTATTTATTCTTCGTTGATATTCAATATTTTTCGTGCCGCAATGATCATCAGTGTAGCCATCAAACACAATTGTACAAGACAAATTGTCTGTATAATTTCTTTGTATATACTTCACATACGTATCGAATATTTCTGTATAAGAAGAGTTCTTGGGCCACAATACTTTGTGGAGTAAATAACTTCCGTCAATAACATAAAATGTGTCTTGAAACGTAGGCTTCTCCGCAAGTGGACTGAACATGTCATAAAAATCTGATTTTGTATTTTTTCTCATCTCATGTTCGTTAAAAATACTTAGAGGGTACGGAGCAAGCTCATATTCGAAGAATCCTCTCAATTCATCGTCGTCTTTTTTAAGAAGACATATGCGCTGGAAAAGCAATGTCGGGTCAATCGGAATATCTTTTTTATCAAGTGTAATTTTTGATAGCATCACTGATAACGGAGTTACTCGAGATTTACTACCAACTTATATGTCTTGTAATTTAAATCCAAACATAGATGTTACAGCACGAGTCCCTATCTCGAAAACTTTATGGCAGTTCACTTTATCGCCGCCAATAACACCCGTTCTCAATGATATCAATTTGTCCGTGTTCGAAAACGGTGAATTGTCTTCAAGCCACTCTTTCAACTGCATCAAATCCCTGTTATCTCTTTTAACACGTACGGAGCCTCCGTCATCATGTTTGTCTGATTTGTGCTGCTCGCTTGTGCCAAAAATAGATACTTTGCAATAATCCTGGCAGCTTTGAAATATGTCCGTGAAAGTAGGCATCGATAAAATCCACTTGGCTATACTCGCATCATTTGTGCCTCTACCATGTGTTAAGCCTCTTCCGGGATCTTTAAAAAGCTTCATGAGGTCTGTTTCAATCGTTTGATCACCGAAGATTCCACAGTAAAATTTATCCGTTCTTCTCACTGAAAAATTCTTCATGTACTCCCTGTGCTCCTGTTCACGCAATTGCAGCATTTGCTGAACAAATAAATGTGCGCATTTGGCATATAAATGATATCCGGCTGCGTGAAAAACAGGCAGCATTTGCACAATACATTTCAAATATTGATCCCACAAAGTGCAACGAGCAGCTTCTAGAAATTTTTTTATTAGCGTAACCATCTGAAAATATTGCACCCACAGCTGAGCAGTTGGCCTATTATCCGCGGATAGTTCATCTAACTTGTCATTAAATTTTTGTAGTATTGATTTGTATAATGCCTCATCAAAGTCATGTGCAATATTAGCATGTCCTACTTTTGCTTGCAATGTATCCAAAAGTTCCTTCTCTTCCTCCGTTAAGTCAATGAATGAAAATATCAAATGTGCTATTGCGGCATGTATTTGTACGTGAGCTCGGACTGCTCTGGCGTACACATGTCCAGTTAAAATGTGTTTTACGGAATTTTCCGCGTATATTAAACTTAAAATGTCCTTAATTCCACTACCATCCATTATTTTTCCAACTGCACCCATGTAAGACATAAGCAAGTGAAATCCACCCAAGATTGGTATCACATTCTTCAAACTATCATTTTTCGCAGTCAAAGTTATTTCTAATGCTTTTATGTATAGAGGCAAATCGAAAGTGACATAACTGTACGTAAAATTTGAAGCCTGTGCTTTGGCGTTGGCTAATAATAAAGACGTGTATATAGTATCTTTATCGGACGGAGGTGCGCAAATAAACGGTAAACATACAACTTTACTTCTTTCATATTCTTGATCTTTTGTTAATTGCTCCATAAAGTGATTCCATCCGGTACTATTGTCGATATTTGAAAATTTTGTATACAGCCATAAGAAGTCACCTGCAGATAGTTGTATATTTTTGATGTGCTTATTTTCACATAAATCATGTCCATCCAATTTTTGATAACATACATCTGAAAATTGTTTATTTGGATGATTTTCAAAGTGCTTTAGGGAGATGGTACCTTCTTTAACAAATGTTCTTGCAGTGGGTAATTTGTTGACCTTGGAAATACTTTCATGCTGGAATGCGTCATGTGGAACAATAATTTGTATGCCACCCATACAATGAAATGTATTTAACCCGTCGAGTGTACAAACATTATGGTCAACGTTATCAAATGCAAATTGACCGAAACATTTTTGCATGGTCGAATTATTTACAACACTTATTGCAGAAGCTTGGAAAAGTAATACTGCTCTGTATGAACTGCAAAATCCAAAACTTGATAACATTTCAATTAGTTTTTGGAACCATATCTGTGATACAACGTTACGGCGAGTCCAAGTTGCAAAGGAGACATTATTATTTTCGGCAACATTGCAGCTATTATGCTGTGTGCTATGGATACAATTTTTTTATGCCACTCATGCTTTTCTTCTTTTTTGCTAGTTATAAGAATCCACAAAAATTTAAACAATGACTGCGGTATGTATTGTTCAAGATTATCAAAAAATTTATCGGCTGCTGGATATTCACTCAAGTCGTATGTTTTACTGTTCAGATCATTAATTATTATTTCAGCCGCTTCTTTTATTGTATGCATTTGTTCCTGTTCTTTTTGAAGTGGAATTTGTTGCTTCTTCGACTGTTGAAAATGTTTAATGAGTATTCTATTTCCTTCTTGGCGACGGCATATCACAGTCTCTTGACAATTATTGCTTGCAAGAAATATGTCGCTTGTACTGTTCACTAATATTTGCTTTTTGATCCACTTCAAAGTGGGTATCGTCACTTCGCTATGGTCATTTTTAAATTGCAATATTAGATCTTGCAGGCTAAATTGCTCGACGTCTGGGTGGCTTTGTATAAAATTAACAATATATTTAACAATAAGTGATACATGACCTTCAGTCTTTGTATGACCCTCATTTTCTTTATAAAATTTTGTTAAACATTGCGAGTGATAATGTATTTTCTTTAATACATCTGTCCCTTCATTTAAAATGGTAATGATTCTTTCATTTCTATCGTTTTTGTTATGTTCTGCGCTTTTCACAATGTTTTTTTACAGTACTTTCATGAGATATAGTGTTGACATTCATTCGCTTATTCTTCGGCTTCCTTGATTCAGAATTTTTAAATGTAGATGATGCACAATCTTCTTGACAAAAAATACATTCATCATAATTTAGAACTAACTCACTGAAATCACTTGATGATCTTAATTGCATCGTAGAAGTCGATGGTATATTTTCTTCACTTGTACCAATTTCAGTAAATGATTTATAACATTTCTTATGTACAGTAATAGGAACTTCGACTCTGTACAATTTTCTTCGCAATGATCCCTCTTCTTTTTTACGACAAATACTTCGCAATTTTGTACAAGCGTTTTCATGTAAAGAAAGAACTGCATTGCCATCCGGATCCAAGGGTAAGTCGCAAAAAATACAATTTGTATCCGCCATCAGAAAAAATTTGAGTTGGTTGTTAACGTACTACGAAAAGTTGCTGGAAAAAGAATCTTTTGTTACTTCAATGAACTAGTAATATTTTACTAATTAAGAAATTGTACACTTTTACATTAGCATTATATTCAGTTTATGAAATAATTAATTTACAAAGAAAACTTAAAAAACTATTTTCAATACATTTGTGTTTGTACACATATATGCAATCGTTTCATGTTTTGAAAACAACAGATAGAACTAATCAACTAGTATCGGTTTGTATTTCTTATGTACAACACATAATATTACTTACCACAATTCTCTTCGAATTTTGAAGCGTTTATTTTCACCAACAATCTAAAATTAACGCTGTTCGATGTACTTAGTACTTTCGCTGCAGTGCGTCTACGGAAATTATGAATCATAACGTAAATGTACTATATTTTCGTTTACTGCATATGAATCGATAATTTGTCAATTCATAATTTAATAAAATATTCACATCATTTATAAAAATAAATCGAAATAACAATTAAGTATTACCATAAACAATTATCACTTGTCACGTACAATATATGTCAATAAAAGTACTAGTCACAATAACACAACCACGTCTCATATGAACTCGACTGGCTTCGTCGAGCGAAGTGAGGGGACTCAGACCCCTTACATTAGACGTAACGGTCGACGCATTTGGCTACCTAACCTGATGCGTCTGGAATTTAGGGAATGTATTGTGTTGGATACATTCCAGTGAAATAATAAAACTTTTCTGTGCAGCATCTCGTATAATGCAGACTATGTTTCTATATAAAAACACATAATACTTGCTTCTCATTTACACAACAAAAACCAACTACTTACCTCATATGAACAAATTGTAATATATTCTTTCGTTAAATAAAAATTTATCTTTTAAACACAATTGTAAATTGTTTAAACAACCGAATTTGTCGAAATGGAGAAAACAAAATTTTTTTTGTGTTTAAATTGTAAAAAAAAATCGTTATTGACGATTTCAGCAATTTTATTTATAATCATCTTAAAGAGCATAAAAAACCCTACAATTTAAAAAAAAAAAAGTCCGATAGCATGCGTTGCACCAAAGTTACAGGCTCGACGATTTTCAAATTCAAACAAGCTTTACGGCCGTTCTAATAAATATTTTTAATTCAAATTTGGTACACTTATTTACGACCATAAGAAGTAACTTTTCCCGCAATATCATTAAAATTGACGAATTAGAAAAAAAATTAAAAAATAAAAACGAAAATTTACCATGTCAGATGGATTTTATTTTTTTTAGAGGTTATGTTGTAACATTTCCGACTAGACTGTGTCTTACTTTTTTGAAGGCAATTTCATGACGAAGACAACGGTATTTTTTTGACTTCTGTACGATGAGTACAACCTGAGATATTCGAAAAAAACTGATGAAGAAATCATTAAAAAACAGCGTTTTTTTAACAAATGTTAAATAAACAAATGTTCCGGACCTCGTACAACCGGGAAACTTCACAATATCTTTATTTACATTGTTTTTGACCTATTCCATAAATAAAATCGCTCTTTCAGTACAGTTCCTATTTCTCGTCAATTTCCGGTAGAATTACTCCACTATAAAATGCAAACAAATAATTATAAATAAAGTTCTGCAATTTCTCGTATCTTTACAGAAATAGATATATGCATGTCATCTTTACAAAATTTGCCATTTCAGGTACATAGTATGGAGCTCAGAATGCTGCCGGCTTGCCTCTTGCCCAGACCAAAATCTGAGAACAATTTCGCGAGCCAAGAACTTACGAGGGAACGAAGGATCTTTCACAAGAGCGACACTTTCCACAAGGATTCGTATCAATGACGACACTCGTTTTATTAGCATATGCAGAGATACTAACGGCTCCATGTTGGAAGAATGATAGAACTTATCTCATCGATAGGACAACTATGGTGGTTTTGTGCCCGGTGCTAGGGCGATCCTATAGCAACGGTCTATACATAGATATCGGCCATGCCAGTAGTCCTTTAGCAATCGATTTATAGCGCCTTCTTATATTAATCTGACGGCATTTTCGTCCAGGACCGCAAAACCACCGGGTCGAGTCCTATACTCCAACTATGATACAGATTTCCGCGAACAAATAAACTTTAGTACAATGATATAAAGATCTTTATGAAACATATATATCGTAAAATAATTCCGTGATGGAAAGAAACGGTTTGAAGAATAAAGGAAAAACTTTTACAATTTAGGCCTCTTTATCTTTCAAACTTGATTCGACTCCTTTTATTTAGAAAAGTGATGACAAAGCGACTCCAAACAATCGCGAAATTTTAATCTTTTACGAGCACAAAGAAGAAAAAAGAAGAAACATCTGTATCTCGGTTGGAGAACATGGAGCCACGTTTTACGCCGTGTCTCTTCATTGAGAACAATCGCCGCGTCGCATCAGATGCAATATTAAAGATGGATGGACGCAGCGAAGAATGAAGATCTCAAAGACGACGAAGAGCAGGCCTAGAAATTTATATAGAGAATATGTAGCCCACATCATGGGGAAAAAGTTAGGTATAATCCTAAGTAAAAGTGTAACGATGCGTAATTCTCTGTGATTTTGCAAGTTGACGTTTCGCACCTTAGGAAAGAAGAAAAAACCAATATAATCTACATGAAGAATTAGATTGCTCTTTTTTTTAAAGCAACAACTAACATAGAGAAATCGTCGTAAGATCAGAGTACTCCGATTAAGTTGATGCGATTTATCTTTAGCTTCGTACTATACATTAGAGCCGCGTAAATAAGTGAAAAACGTAATACTCCGTGCGGGGAAAGAAATACAAGAACAAAAGGGGAAAAGGTTCACGTAAGATGGGTTAAAAATATCTTATCGGTGAAGGCTCTTTTTCTGATTTCAGACGCGAAATAAGTTTGCGTTCCATGACTTCGCTTGTTTGATAGATCCTCCTTATTTTGCTACGTTTCATTTTGTATTATTATATAATAACACTAAAGCCGCGAGTGATGATTAAGTGTTGCGACTCAATGTCGGATACATTCGATAGACCGTCCTGGTATAGAAATATGATCGGTAAGAAGGAAATTACGGTCACGCATTTAAGAATCCAGAAAAAGAGAGAGAAATGCGATTATAAGAATTAATCGGTTCCACAAATCCTACCGAGGGCCTGAAGGCTGTGTTTACTTGTTGAGAGTTCTTCGGGCCGCTGTGGTTACATGTCAATGAATGAATTATAAGCGTAATGCGAGCAAAGTATCTTTTTATGAAATGAAAACAAGAAAAAACGCGATGTACTATAAAAAAGCTATAAATACTATGTAATAAATTATTATTATTGTTACGATTATTACTTGCAATGATTACTACACCACTACCGCATAATTAGGCGACTAAATAAATTACCAAAAAAAAGATACAGTTATATACATATATGAAGTATTATGCATAGTGGTTAAATATCGTGTTGCAAGATAACCCTATAATGTTCAACTCTACGTGCGAAATGGTTTGACACCGACTAAACCGATACTTACGAACAGTTTATACATCATAATCCCCCCGGAGCTTAATCTATTGTATTCCGTTTTAAACAACGTTTTATAAATACCAATATCTTCGAGGCCAATTGAACCATACCGATCGATCTCGCTTTACGTATTTTATAGACGCTAACCGAAATCAAACAGAATATTTCATTTCAAATACCTCCTAGCATTCGGCTAAAGAAGTTTTTAAGAGATAATTATAGTACTATTTAGTTTTTACAACTATAAATCCTAACTCATACTCCTTAATTCTTAATATCGAAGAGCACAAGTATATTTGTAACATCGTGTTACAACATTTACAACATAATGTTCCTTAATTTCTATAAAATTACACAACAAAGTAAACATATTTTTATCAAATTCGTTAAAAAGATTATTTTCTTTCAGCAATTTGTATTTAAAATTAATGGAGTTAACACATTTCTTTTAAGTGAAGTATGTTAAATAACGCTGTGCTCTTTTCGGATTAAAGGGACGTTCTTTTGTCAGCATGCGATCGAACGCAGCTATTCGCTTTTGTTTTCTCTCAAATTCGAGATTGCGGTGCTCCCTTCCGCGTGTGAGAAATAAATCGATCATTTTTTTTTATTAAAAATAACGCCCGAATGTTATTTTTACTTGTATGATAACGAGATTCCATTAGCGAGCGCACGATTAAGAAGGAGTGAGCCGATCATTTTTTCTATAGTTGATGCGTATACATTATCGCGAATACATCAATGTACATATATCTTCACGTAAGAGTTTAGACGCGCGTTTCATACATATACATATGTAAACATAAACACTTACACACGCGTGCGAGAGGGAAAAAGAGAACGAGAGAAAGAAAGAAAGAGAGAGAGAGAGAGAGAGAGAAAATGAAAAAGAAAAAAGTACCTATTTTTCATGTAAGAGAGACATAGTTTTTTGTCATTATTTACACATCTTCAACACACATCTCATCCTCAATATATATATATACATATATATATATATATATAAATACTATAATAGCCACAAGAGTGTAAGGAGAGAGAATGCGTACGAGAGGTCAAAACATTCCAATGGTAGAGTAGTCGTAGACCGCATGTCGACGTTTTTATAGTTTAATCTGTACGAACGGTCTAGGATTAATCTGCCGGTTCGGGCCTAACAGGTACGCATTAATATATAAATATTATAAATAAATAAATATATATAACATTGTTACTGTGCTCCGAGACGAGTGCGAGGGAACGAACGAAGTGATTGATATACAAAAGAAACAGAGGAGCTGTACTGTTACCACTGCTAACTGATAGACACTATTTAGCCACTGTCTACTTATATCGATAAAACGATTAAAAAAAAAAAAAGAAAAACAAACTGTGCGGCAAGGAAGTGCTGTGTTAGTACTCTATTCGCATACACATACGAGATATTACGTGTACATAATACCGTACGTAATATGTACGTAAGGAGATACACATCTCTATATAGCGCACTACAAAAAAGAAGACGTGGGGGGGGGGGAGAATAATTATTTAGGATTAAACAGAGAAATCGTGTGACTATTCGAGATGTGTGAACCTTACTCCGTAAAACAGACAAGAGTGAGACACTTATTAAATAAAAACAAAAAAAGAGGTGAATAGTTTTTGTATTGAGAGTCAAGTTGCGCGTGAACAGCGGAATATATATTGAATCAGACCAGGGGGGAAGGGAACAAAAGAAAAGGGAACAGATCCGGAAATCGGAAATGGACGCATATAGCGTTTGTACCGGCAATCGAGTAGGAAGCCTGAGATTTTTAAAACGAGAAACGCAAGTCTACATTCGTCGCAAGAAATTAACCGGATAGCCGTACACCTCAATTACGAGAGCGTTAGATACAATTGTCGTGCGAGGCTGATTAATGTGCGTCAATTTAGTCACGATGTATATAGAGCAGAATGGGACGCTGCGAAGAAAAAGACGAAATCTTAAATGGATGTTTCAAATCTCACATATCAATCGTTCTGTTGAAAGACATCGCGAAAGTATTCGCTGGATGCGGGAATTGTTTTTAAAGTGCGCTCAGCAAAAACGCTCGACTGGTATAGCGTCGTATTAGACTTTTTTTCATTTTTTCTTTTTTAGAATATTTTCAATTTCGCAATTCACTTAAAGCAGATTTAAGACTTGAACAAAATTTCCACGTATTGTACATCTCTCGAGTGTGCATCGGTAATCTCATGCGTTAAATATCGCGCTAAATAATGACTGTATAAAATTATCTTCCCTTCGAAGTAGACTTACTATTTCCGTTTCCGGTTTCAAGGATCAAAAGCTGTAAGAACGATCGACGAAGAAACATGCGACTGTCCAAAGTTAAATAAAATGCTATTAGATGATCCGCTGTTAAGCGTTTCTCAATGGTTCTCACACGGTGACACGGTACTCTGTTTTCGATAAAAAAAGTATTTTATTCTTATTCCATTATGTGCCGCACACTGTCAAACGCATCTTCAATATATACCTAAAATTATTCCGATTGAATACTATTTGAAATTACTTCAACGATATCGACAAATATGAACATATCATTTAAAGATCCACTACCATTGTCCGTTTTTCTAGAACTGTTCGAAAAATCAAATGTGATTGAAACAACGAATTATGCACACATCAGTTCACATGCGCGTGCGGTAATTCTTGTACAATATTAAATAGAAGTGTGTAATCACGTAGATCTTAACAGTTTCTCGAATGCAATGGTGCTATCACAGGTCACCGTTTTTCCATTTCTTTTCTTTTTTTTTTTAAACCACAGATCAAACTCCGCGAGTTGAAAGAGCAGCGGACAATTCCTCATCAGAGGTCGCATTAAACGACTATCTGATCGAATTTACGTCGTGTATCTGTTTAGAATTCCATATTAAAGTTTTCAATTTTCTGTGCCTTTTCTTTGGAAATATCGTGACACCGTGTGAAAACTACGGCAGCTAGTTGGGAAACCTGCGTGTAGTACGCCTTGTAAAAAAAAAAAAATAATAAAATGAAGAAAACACATTTACCCTAGCGTCAATTTTCTACGAAAGAGTTTTCTACAGGGTTCACACCATGAGCGGGAATACGACGTCGTGCTTATGGTATGAATATGTATGTACGCTGTTGCGGTGCTGATATGAATCTACCGACGTTTTTTCTATTACACGTTATTGCGTTTGTAATTACGATCGTTTTTTCGAGCGTGCGAAGGAAAGACTACATCGGGGAACATTATCAGTTATAGTGAAAGTTTGCTTGATTGAACGAAGCGATTAGATGACTGAGAGAAAAGAGATACTTCTCAATGAAATGTACTTCGATTTTTCTACGCAACTTCGCTTCCGTTTCTTTTAGCGATTTGAAGATTCACTTGTTTCGTAATAGAAAATTTTCCAAAAATTTAGCTGCAGAAACGGTACGAAAATTTGGATGAAATACATGGCAGAGTAAGAATGCTACGATTCTTTATAAGTACAGTGTCGGCATCTTTCGCGATACTAATGGTGTAGCTTATAGAACAGTATACCTATCTCTCTTCGATTATTTGAAGATATTAATATTAAAAGAATAATTGGACTCTTATTCATTGTTGTGTGAGATAAATCAATTTATATTTTATCCAAATTTACGCAGAAATTCATATTTAAATTTCAATATATAATTCTAATCGTGCAAACGAGCTAATTACTTTCGTTAATGCTACGCCATTACTCGCAAAAAATCTGACGTGTATCGTAAGGATATAAAGTAATAATAATAAAGGAATGTGCGGACTATATGTCGTTCTACGCTGCTATGCGTATTTCATTAAAGTCAGCTCATGCTGTGAGTAAGCAATAATTAATAGCAAGCATTCAATTAATTCGAACGAGAAAATCAATCGGACCTTCAGCTAATAACGCTTGGTATGTACGAATATCTCAAGCTATCGTACGACATCTCGGAGATGCAGTTGCACCTCGTTAGGCGTCACTCTTTTATGCCGAGTGGAAGTTAGTAGCCGTACGCGTTCTGGCCGAAGGAACACATACTCGTGCTTTTTCGAGATCTAACTTCTTCTCGTTTTGCGATTTACGTAGCAATTTGCAATTCGATATATTTTACTAACGGGATAATTAGGCGTACAAATCTAGATAGAGGAACTGCATGCGATTAGGGAAAAATTAGCGCGGGCCGCGAATGTGCAAGCCGCATACCTATATATATATATATAACTTCGAATCGAGGTCACACTTCTTTTCTAACGGGGCCGTTGTTTCTTTTTAAAAAAAAAAACAAAAAAACCGATTCGATTCTAGCCTGGCTATATTATATATATTTAGGGAATTAACCGGCCGACTATACTTTTATAAAGTGTACGAGAAGTATTTCACGCGCGTTTAGACATCGGCACCTTTAAAATATACTTGCCATAACGAATGCCTTAGCAAAATGTTACTGTATAATTGAGATACCGTGGCGGAGAAGGTATATAATAAGTAAACATGTCATGAGACACACGGTACACGCAGACACAAGCATATACATACACACGGTGTAACACAAAGTCATAACACACACAATAGGCAAACGAGTCAAAAGCTAATGCACATGAAAGAAAAACATAAGTAGAAAGGAGTATCTACATTCACCGCGTGCACGCATAAGATATACCGTGATCACGATCGATCGCGATAGATATTATACGTGTAATCACGTTAACAAATAACCGATGGAAGTTGAACAGTCACTCGAAAACAGTGTATGCGAGACTCCTCAGAAGCGCACGAAAATAACAAGTAAGGGATGAAGGTGCAAAGTGTGAGAGTATATATGTATAATTAAATGTATTATAATTAAGATTGAATTACTTCTAGTGAGTGAAAGAGCGTTCATTAATCATGTACATACCATCGATAGCAATACTCAACTTCGCCCGTCCATTTAATTTCTACGTCATACATTTCGCGCAGGACAACAAAAGTTCATTTACCCGTTTTTCAATTCCACTCATCTAGATAACTCATCTAGAGAGGAGTCAACATGAAAACATCACGAACTAATTCCCTTCCCAATATTTTAGTTTTAAATACGTCGCGCCTTGATACATATGTGCTATACGGATAAAAAGGAACCGCGAACGTTAGACACTAAAAAAAAAAAGAACGGGGACGGAAATTCTTAACGTAAAAGAGAATTTAAAGAAATCTAATTGATTTTGCACACGCGAATTTTTCTTTATCATAATCGCGAAGTAATAATTTAAAAAAAAAACCAAGAAAAAAGATAA